AGTACGGCTCTGGTGGGCGAGGCTGGCTGTTACGCTCTGGACAACATAAGCATACTTCGAGCGTGGAAACAGATGAAAACGCAGCCGGCGTTCTTACGAGGAATGAACGAGGTTGGAACGCCTTGCAGGATCGACAATTTTGTTGGCGTCGCATTTTTCGTCGTGAGTGATACAAATGCCGTGTATGCAGTTTGCGTGCGCGTCGATCGAGGTTGATTGGGCGCTGCCTGTGTTCTTGCCGAGTACAAGGGGTGCTTTTGTGGCTTTTGGAAATTTTTCCATAGCGATGTCGCAGATGTTGTGATCGAAGGCGCATTTTTGATCTCTGGTGGAGAATGTATCCACGACGATGGGCCTTTTTGCAATGTTCTTTGAGCCTTACGGGTGGTTTCGATGTAGTTTTCTTTCGTCGTTGACGATGTTGAAGTGTACGTTGACGTTGTAGATTCTTGGTTTCGTCGACTTGCTTGGGGTGTGACATTGATCCTGGTGTGCCCCGATTCTTAGCAATTTCTTTGCAGGCTTCTACGACGCCAACTAATGCAGCTGTTTTTGGCGCAAGACAATGTGGGGTGTATCGCGCACTTGAATCTTCTGTATTCATAAACCGCTCATTGTTGGTCGTTGCCTGAAGCGTACTTGTGTCATCAGAAGTCGCACCTACGCTTTTGTTTTCAGTGTTGGCAGTGAGGTCGTGCACTGGATTGACGTCGCTTTGATCTTGGGATTGGTGAACACTAGACGCTCCTGCAAAAGACTTTTCTTCACAAGATGCTGATTGTAAATGATTCTGTCTTTGTGGAACTGCTGAGCTGAATACCAAGTCAGTTTGAAAAGTACGCATGCGGCAGGAAGTATTCAATGAATCTGAGTCATCAATAGTGGTTTCAATTCTTTTATGCAGCGGAGAGTTAAGCATCGGTGATATTTGCGCGGATGAGGAACCAGGTGGAAGGTTGGGAAAACGACAGCGTGATCTTTCCATGAGCATGTTGCTAACTTCACCTGACGGGAATTGTAAATACATGCTCTGTGCTCGAATGCGTGATGGCTGCTTATGACTGCGATGATTGAGTTCGAATGCACTGAGAGTGTGTGTTCTAATCGAATCTTCATTAGAGTCTTGAAACCAGACGATCATTTCTTCTTTTATCTTTCGCCAAGACTCGTCGTTGTCGAATATGTGGGTAAGGTAAAATTTAAATGCCTCACCGGTGACGTAGTCGCTGAAGTTCATAACCATTTCCCGTTCCGACCAAGATGCAGCGGTAGCGTGGAGCTCGAACAGGTCGAACCAGTCCTGTACAGGTCCATCGTCCGCTGCTCCGGTGTACTTGGGGATGGGAAGGTCAGTCGATGATTCTGGCATGATGCTGGTCGCTGTGCGCGGCCAGGAGATGATTCCGTAGTCGATGTGTGGTCAGGGTGTCTTGTTGAGAACTGTGTCGACGATGAGACACTGATGAAGGGGCAGGCAGGTCTCCATCCTGTCGACTTGTGTGACGCTATATATATATATATATATATATAGCGTCACACACACACACACACACACATATATATATATATATATATATATATATAATATATATATATATATATATATTATATATATATATATATATATATATATATATATATATATATATAATATATATATATATTGCTGACCCAAAGCTCGGAATGCCAGAGGCCCGCGTACTTATTTTTATATGAACGTTAGAGGACCCGAAGTGGTTTACACTTGCGGAGCCTGTCACCACGGCACCTATCATGATCATATCGTAGTTGTTGGACGTTAAACAGAAGCAATTATTGCCCCCCCCCAGCGGTGGTCTAGTGGCTAACTCGGCTGCTGACCCGCAGGTCACGGGATCGAATCCCGGCTGCGGCGGCTGCATTTTTGATGGAGGCGGAAATGTTGTAGGCCCGTGTGCTCAGATTTGGGTGTACGTTAAAGAACCCCAGGTGGTCGAAATTTCCGGAGCCCTCCACTACGGCGTCTCTCATAATTATATGGTGATTTTAGGACGTTAAATCCCACATATCAATCAATCAACAAAATCAATTATTATTACACTGAAGTTAATTGCCCCTTCCCACTCGAAAATTAGATCGCTTGCTCTGACGTCACTGAAACCACCATGTTGATGCACCGCATGGCGCACGCAAGGTTTATTACACCACGTGTTAATGCTATCGTTATGCCGCTTGCCATTTTTTTATTGACGCGCTGAGACCAATATGATTCCGGCCGCATCGTTATCGCATATTGAAGCAACTGAAGCATGATGTGACTGTGTGGCCTCTACGTCATCGATTCCCTCGTGGTGGTGAGCCAGCACGTTATTATGAAGCAGCGACCATGACGTCATGTGTAAGCTATTTATCTTCCTCGTTTCACCTCTAACTGCTACCTCTTAATATCCTAATTCTGGCATGCATGCCATCACCAAAGGCATATTCACGGACAATATGCCCCAAGGCTACCGAGTGAAGTTACTCGAAAATTCCACGAACCGTGCCATAAGATACCGGCACGGCAACTCGCCTCCGTCAGCACTTCGCGCCACCATTCAAATCATGATCGGCAGTGTGGATGAAAAGTAATAGCCACTCTCTACTTCGTCATGAGCGGGGCTTCGCAGAGCCTCATGGAGCTTCGACGAAAGGGTCGTTGCGTTCGTGTGTCTGTACTGTGCCGGGCACTCCCACAGCATGTGCGGAAGCCTTGACGTCCCCTCATGAAAGGCCTAGGCCTGGTCACCTAAACCTGCTGGTTTCTTATAATAAAGTTTATTCCTCCTCCTCTACCTGGATGCCACCACTGCTGCTGCGCCTTTGTCCCAGATATCAGCAGAGACCATACCACTTGCGCGAGCGCGTAGCTGTCAGCTGAATATATGCGCTGTATATCGTCACTGCCCTTCGGGAGCTGTCGCGGTGAGTGGTGGCTTTCAATCGACGGGCATCGCCTCAACGCTTGCGCCCAAGACACTCTCGCACATCTTTGGGATCGGGGCGATAAAGAAAGCGCCTCCGTACGACAAGCATTGCGCGCGCATCAGCTCATTCGGCGTAAGCCGCCGCAGCACAACCACCATTACACTGCGAGACTGCTTCCGGCGCGAAAGTGATGTCCCTGCAAGAAGAAGCGTACCCGCCTGCGAGCCGCCTCCGGCCATTCGTCACGCTTCTGCCGGCAGATATCGCATGCCCGTACGGCGGTGATTGCTCGTGCAATCGGGGTTGCGCAACAAATAAACGTGTTGACGTCATTTTGTGGATTTGCGTGCATGCGAGCAAAAAGGACCTGGTGTACGCTGGCATCCTTCTTCCGCTATTCTTGATCGATAGCGAAGGAGGAGACTTGCGCTCAAACTGACTTAGACCGCAGCACCTCGATGACGCGTCAGCAGGTGACCCAGATGCAGCGAGTGTTTGTGGATGCGAGAGAAAAAACAGCAATCTAGGAATCACGTAGTTGCTAGCCTTAAGCAATACTTAGCCGGCAGATTCGTCATACGTTGCGAAAGAGTGATGTCTCCCTTTAAGGCACGCATTGTGGAATCCCTGAAATAGAGAGGCAGCAAAATCGATGGGACAATTCATTTAGGAGAAAAATAAATAGAAACAAAAGGGTTTTATCATGCAGTATCGGTTATTCAAAAACCATGGTTGCTCTACGTGACGTACATATAGGCGATCGAAGATTGACAAAGACACGAAATATCTTTAACATGCAGTGACTCATGCCAACATAACATGTTTCATTCATCTGACGCGTGAAGACAAACTCTGAAAACCGTCTAAGCAACCAAATGATACTTCGCGAGAGTAATACCAATTGTTTGTGCCATTGAATCATCTACACTCGTTCATTGCATCTCGTTGGATGAGTCCGGTAATCCTGAGCAAGGCAACGTTGTATCCTACGACTCAGTTAAGTCTATGTGATCGTTATTCTTACCTATAATTGCTGGTTTACCATACGCAACCGACCCTCGGTTCAGCGATCAGGATGCAGTGGCACTTCACGCCACACCTTTTCTCGATTAAAAACTGTTTTTCGTCCTGTGATCGATCTATCGCGCGTTCCTTTAAATATTTTCCTTGTTGCCATAATTACACAGTTCGCAACAAAGTGCTTGAGCAAAGGCATCGAAACATTCTTTGAGAAGAATGCTCCATTGTCTCTTAATTTTAAAACAGCCATTCCTCTTCAAAGGACCGCATGTTCGGAACGTGTTTGAATAACCTTATCGGTAAAATTACCTGCCATAAAAGGCGTAGAACAAGACCTAGTTCCCAAAAACAGAATATTCTCCATAAGCCGGCTCTTTCAGTGCACCTCGGCTTTCAAGAAAAATAAAACCCGTCAAGCGGGTGCATTCTTTCGCACAAGCGCTCGTCCAAGTATAGGCGTGCACACGCCATCGTCTGTATCGCTTCCTTCCGAAGCTGTCGATTTTCGATAGATCCCGTGAGCCTGCATTCACGGCAGAGAATGGAGCCAGCGCTGGTCATGCGTGGTGCTAGCCCCAGTTACCCCTTTCCTCCTCAAGCACGCATCATAAACTAGCTTCGGCAACGTCGTCATCGGCAGCGGTAGCACGCGGCCGGAGCGACCGGGCGATAATTGGCGGACGCCGCGGGAAGCGGAAGATGGTGCTCTCGAAGAAGCACCGGCTGCTTTGGTGCGGGAGGAAGAAGAATATGCAGAGAGGGCGCTGAACAAACGCGCCGACGACGCTATGCGGGCGCGCGGAGCGCTATGAGCATTCACTCTCTCCTCGGCCGACCTCAATCCGGCGGCCTGGAGGTCATCGTTCTGCGCGACCCTTCGGTTCAAGAGCAAACCCCTGGCCGCTGCCATGTAAGGGGGGGGGGGGGGTGAGAGGAAGGGGGAGGCGATGTCGGAGAAGGGGGGTGAGACGTCCGTTCGACAACGACGCCGGGGGCTCCGCCTCCAGTGAGCAGCTTACCATAAGAAGCTGGACGCACAGCGGACCACCGGCACAAGACCTCCCCCCTTCCAGTACACAGGACACCAAGACGTGCACTCCTGCGGACCGTCATGGCTCAGGTGAGTCAGACCTGGAGGACAGCGGTGCTCCGCAATGCCAAAGGAAGACCGTCGTACCATGAGGATTACACGCGGCCGGCTGCGCTTGTCAGTAGATGTGTCGCGTGCAGCGTGCTTTCTCTCGGTGGGTGGTGGACGAGTGACGAGGAAAAGGCGCCCAATCCTATACGTAGTGGCAGCCACCGTACGGGTTGACCTTTGACCCTTCTCACCTTCGCTGGTTCGACGGTGCTGCGAATGAACCGGAGAACTTGCTCGTGACCGACGCTTTCGGGCAGTCGAACGATCCCTCCGACAGGCGTGATGGATTAAGAGTGCTTGCCCGAAGTCGCGAAGAGAATTTGGGGCTTATTAAGGGGACCGCCACTGCCCGCGGAGCTGTTGTTGGTCACGAAGCGAACGTTGGCTACCGAACGTGTTCCTCATTTGAGCCGATGATCGGGATCTCGTAGAGGTCAAGCCTCGCTTCTCACCACAACCGACCAAACAGATATTACTGCTTAGTTAGCAGTTCTCCCACAGACTTGCTCTTTAATATGGGTAAGAATTCCTGTAAGGGTTGAGGGTCGCAGAGGAAGTACGTGAGAATTAATGCTAGTTAAGCGTCAATTAGCTACTGCATTCTCAGTAACGTTAGTCATTGCATATTCTTATAAGGTCATGATACGTTAGCTGCTACTCGAATGACTATTTAGTGAATTCAGATTCAGAAACGAAAGTTGCACTTTCCCTACAATAAGCTCTTACATGTCCGAAATTTCCTGAATGTATTATTAGCCTGACGGAATTATATACGAGACAATGCTTGAGGCTTTAAAAAACAAGACAAATCCCGTAGATATAATACCTAATTTTTTAAGAGAATACGACAGAATAGACATCAAGTTCAAGTACCGTTTCCTGCTTTTCTTCGGCTTTACGTTTATACTTCTCAATGCCAACTGATGTAGTATTTACGAAATATTTCGACAAGTTACAATTGGTACAACAGCACCGGCAGCGTTCACAGCTATATAAGGCAGTATTTGGTACACATTCAATAAGTTGTAGGAAAAAAGTATATTTCCGATTGTTATGGACATGGAACATCCCAAATATTCAGCAATATCCTAGTTGGGACTTCATTCAGAAATTTTATTTAGCAAGCTCTGCCAGCCATTACATCTCGGTTTCCACCTTGCCTCCTGACGTAAATCTAAACTATACCGAAGTTTGCGAAAAGATTAAGACGTGGGGTCAACGCCAGTGTCGTACTGTCGTCGATGTTTCGACATGGAAAGATGTCTTGGCCAAGCCCTGACGCAGGCAAGTCATTTTGTTGAACATTTGGTCAGAGCGCTGTTTCTGGTTCTACTTCTGTTGATCACTGTGGATCAATGAGAGTCATTGCAGAATCTGTTGATCTCTGGTGATCAGTAGATACTTAAGCTGACGAATTCCGACTTTCAACCGCTTAGTAGGGTGCACACTAGAGCTCAGCTTTTCAGCATACACGTACTTGTTGTGTAACGAGTGAGAAACAGCCTTCCGCTGTTTTAAGGAAGGAAGTGACGAAAAGGCATCTTTGTTTGGCAGGGAGTTCAGAATCGCACGGCTCCGACAAGAGATTCAAGTGATTCGTGGGGAGCTTGTCGGTCGTGCCTGCATGCCCGAAGGAGCATCCAATTAAGACGCAATCAAATATCCCCGTAACGACTCTCCCGGCATATGGGGCCGTCAGGCAGACGAGTTGTTGAGCCGCTTGTCTCGCGTGTGACTGAGGCTTCTGCCGGAGGGCTATCTCGCGCCTTTGACGTGACGAGGAAGTCGATAGTCGTTCGTGTATATATACTATGCAGGTAGCGCCGTACACATCCACACCGATTGCTCCGAATGAAATAGCTCAGCTATAAATGGCATTTGCATTCCGCTTCGTGGTTCACCGGGTGCGATTTCGCTGGCAGCCAACAGCGGGCTGGAGTTGACCTTCTGCCCCCTTCTGTATATACTTTTACAGGGCGTTCGCACGGCCCGACGCGATAGTGCTTCTACTTCGATCATGGTGGCGTAGATGTGTACGAAACACCACGTACATCATATATATATATATATATATATATATATATATATATATATATATATATATATATATATATATATATATATATATATATATATATATATAATATATATATATATATATATATATATATATTATATATATATATAGTACTTTACAGTAACGTTTATACAATCACACCACTCTAACGAGAAGTGAAGGCTACTCATAAGCGGAAACTAATCATATGTATTGAATTCCGCAATATACATAGCCTCGCCTTACCACTCCCGTATAGCTCTCTCTTTTGCGAGAAATGTTGTGAGCCGCGAATCGCGCAAATGAGTCGTGTCTATCGCATGACAGATGCACACCGAACATCATCATCGTCTGTTTGTCTCCAAGTTTACCCTGTAATCTTTTCAGAGCACTTTAACGCGACGTTTCAATTTCTACTCGGTGCGCAAAACATTAAAATGTGTTCCTCCTCGTTTTCTTTCTTTTTTTATTTGAAACACAAAAGAAGCTTCCCGTGATGATGTAAACGTTTGCATATTTGCTCTCAGTGACTTCTTGTCCGCAATTGAACCTCTGGACAAATCGACATGCTATTTTTCTCTCAGAATCTTCCTTTTGCCCCGTGAGGAATTCCAAGCACTCCAATTTCGTTCCTTCACCCATGCGAGTTAACCCTCTTATTTCAGGCTCGCATAGGCCCCGCCGCGGTGGTCTAGTGGCTAAGGTACTCGGCTGCTGACCCGCAGGTCGCGGGTTCGATTCCCGGCTGCGGCGGCTGCATTTCCGATGGAGGCGGAAATGTTGTAGGCCCGTGTACTCAGATTTGGGTGCACGTTAAAGAACCCCAGGTGGTCAAAATTTCCGGAGCCCTCCACTACGGCGTCTCTCATAATCAAATGGTGGTTTTGGGACGTTAAACCCCACAAATCAATCAATCAGGCTCGCATAGAGAGCGTGACTACTTCTCGTGTTCCACAGCCGTTTTGTTTGTTAATCTGGTTTAGGACGAAATTCTTCGCCAGAGTTCTCAGATTCGAAGTCGTTTTCTGCTGGAACGAGACAGCTTGATTTGTCATCGACTCCAGTATAGAAGTGTATTCCACGCAACTGCTTGCTTTGCAAATCGCCGTCGTATTGCACGTGCTTTGCCATTTGGTTGATAATTTTCAGTGACGTGAGTTGCGACGTGTGCTGATTGGACGAGACAGCGAAAGATAACGTGACGAAGGGAAAGGTGCATCTTAAACTGTGGTGACATTCACGTCAAAGTTTTGTACAGTTCTTTGGCAGGGTGCGTCAGCAGGGCATGTTACTGTGGCGTGAAGACGTGCCACTGTATTCTTGATCGCTAGGGATGAGCAACGTGTTTGGGCACATGGGAATGTGAAAGAACTTCAGCTACAGCCGGTGACGGGAGCTGCACGAGTCTTATGTGAATGCGAGAACGACGACGATTTTCTCTGGTCGGAATGAAGCGATACCAACACGTTCGTTCAGTTACAACACTCTGTTTTAAGTACTCGATTGCACATGATTAGATATTAAAAAAAAAACGTCTGCGCTATACTCATCAGAGGGCGGTTGTCCAGTTGGCCTATAATGCTGCTGAGGGGGCAGCTCTTTCGGAGTCAAAGCGTGCAAGCGTGCAGGGAAGGTGCGTGGTTGTTTCGCTGCACCTGCATTGTTCGAACAGTGGGCTATACCAGCCATTCTTAGAGTAAATGAATAAGCCTTCGAAAATGCCACTGCAAGGCATATACGGACCAGCAGGACAGAGCCAAGTTGTGATATAGGTAGGACGGTATATTTATTTGGATATCAGGGTCCAGTTTATGCTGGCGTGGATTTGTGAACATGACTGAATTCCGAAACTCTCAGGCACCGGACTACAAACGGACTTCAGCGCGAGCCTCCACGAGGATGCTGCCGCAGTTTCTTAGGGAAACCAGACTGATTGACACGTTCTGACGGTTGATTATTATGTTGGTTTGTTGCGATTGGACAGTGCTATTGTGACGGTTTCATAATATCGTTACAGACTCTGTTTTTCTCATTAAGTCTTTCTCACCCCCTAAGTATTTCCCCTTCCTAAGCAACGGAGTTTCCTCAGGTTAACATCCCTCTTTCCTTTAACCGTTTGCCTCGATTACCGATCCGCAGGTCGCTGGATCGAGTCCCTGACGCGTGGGCCGCATTTTCGATTGGGACGAAAACGCTCGTGGCCCGAGTACTAGATTTAGGTGCACGTGTAAGAACACCAGGTGTTCGAAATTTCCGGAGCCCTTCACTACAGCGTCCTTCATAATCATAGCGTGGTTTTAGGACGTTAAGGCCAGTCAATTAATACTAATTCCTTTACCCCTCTCACTCAGCGTTAACGTATACAAGTTTAAGAAGGATCAGAATCTTGAAATCAACCCACCTTCGTAATAATCGACACTGAGTGAATAGGTGGTGCAGAGTCTCAGAACCGCCCCGCCGCGGTGGTCTAGTGGCTAGGTACTCGGCTGCTGACCAGCAGGTCGCGGGATAGAATCCCGGCTGCGGCGGCTGCATTTCCGATGGAGGCGGAAATGTTGTAGGCCCGTGTGCTCAGATTTGGGTGCACGTTAAAGAACCCCAGGAGGTCGAAATTTCCGTAGTCCTCCACTACGCCGTCTCTCATAATCATATGGTGGTTTTGAACGTTAAACCCCACAAATAAATAAATAAATCAATCAATCAATCGAGTCGCAGAACTAAAAAGTGTGAACAAAATTCAACCATGCTGCACACTCCCGCATAGCAAACCGCGGAGAACGGGTCGTGAAAATAGCTTCCCCAGACAAGTGACCGAACATTTCATTTCACAGGCAGTGGGCTGCATCGACACAGCACTGCATATAATACGTTCAGCGTGTCGATAACGCACAAAGCGGGGCAATGTATTCGACTGGCGATAACG